ATGCCATTTTTTAGTGACAGACTCATACCAGTGCCCAGTTAGTATATATGTGCTTTCTATTCTTCCATTACTTGTTTTCCTTCTTAAACAATTTGTATTGGTGTTTACTCCTAAGCAATATGGAGATCTTCCGCATTACTTTTTACAACTGAACAACACCCCATTGTATGGAGGTCCCATATTAGTTTATTCAGTAACCACTAACACTGAACATTTGGGGTTTCTGCTCTCTGCTATTGCAAATAGTAGCTGCGGTGAATAGCATTGTCCATATGTCTTGCCAGTGTGTCACTGGATAAATTTCTGGAGGTAGAATTTTTAAAAGTTTCCCCATTTCATTTGTTTATTTTTATGTGGTACAAAAGGTCAAACCTAGTGCCTCATACATGCTAGGCAAGTGCTTTGCCACTGAGCTACTTCACCAGCATGGAGGTAGAATTGAGTCAAAAAGTGTACATATAATTTTGATATACTCATCAGAATCCCTTCTATGGAGTCTGTAGCATTTTGCATTTCTCCTAGCAATATGGAAACATTTCTTTCATTCTGTGGCAGATGTTATCAGATATTGGATGTTTGTCTTATGGGTAAGAGATGGTGTTTTATGCTGTTTCGTGTGCTAAATAACTTGTAAGGGCCTGTTTGGCTTTCCTTTTTCTATTCTCTTTTTATGCTATTGTTATTATTCTGTTGTCTGTGAATGGGTGATTTGCCATCATCTTTTTGAGTCAGTTACATAAAGAGATTCCTTCTCTGAATCTTTAATCTCTTGCTCCCATCTATATGGATGGCCATATCAAACACATCATGCTGAAACCTCTCCTCTGTACTTGGAGGTTGAATTTTTCCCTCTCCTGGGATTCTGTATGTTGATGTTCTTTGTCTTTTTAAACTGAAGCCTATCTTCCAGTAACTAACAAAGAAAATAATATGTTAGATGGAAATTTTAGTCCTGTGTGTGGAAATGTCTCCGGGGTTCAAAATAATTTTGCCTCAAGTTTGAAAGTACCACTTACTCTTTTTATTCTTTTTTTTTTAATGTTACCTTTTTTCTTTTTTTTATTATTAGTTGTTCAAAACATTACAAAGCTCTTGACATGTCATATTTCATACATTTGATTCCAGCAGATTATGAACTCCCATTTTTACCCCATTTTTATTATATTAGAATAAAAAGATTTTGCAGATCTTTTTATTCTAATATAATGTTGATGACAGAAAAGTAAGTGTAGAGTAATGCTTTTTTGAAAAAAATTTTTTTAAATAGTTTGAGTGTATAGAGGACCTACGATGATGCCTCATTTCTAAAGAATTTTAATAGCAGTGTTTAGTTCACAGCAAAACGGAGTGGAAAGCACGGAGAGTTCCTGTATCTCCCTTACCCTCCCAGGTATAGGCTTCCCATCAACATTGTATTCACCCATTTATGATAATTTACGAACTGATATTTAACATCCAGAGTTCACAGGCTTACATTCCACTTCACTTTTTTTTTTTTTTTTGGGTACTCAGGATTGAACCCAGGGCGCTTAACTATTGAGCCACATCTGCAGCCCTTTTTATATTTTCTTTAGAGACTGGATTTGCTGAATTGCTTAGGGCCTTGCTGATTTGCTGAGGCTGGTTTTGAACTTATGAACCTCTTGCCTCAGCCTCTCAGCCTCTTGGGTTGCTAGGATTACAGGTGAGCGCCACCCTACCTGGCTAGGCTTTGCTCTAGTGAATGTATATTCTGTGGGTTTGGACACGTGTTGTACCATCATTGTAGTATTGTATGGAGCAGTTTCACTGACCTAAAAACTTTGGGCCCCCATTAACCTCTCCTCATTAACCTCTGGCAACTCTGACTGAATGATTAATTGGTAACAGGGATTGAACCCAAGGCCACAGAGCCACATCCCCAGTCCTTTTTATTTTTTGAGACAGGCTCTTGCTAAGTGGCTGAGGCAGATTTGAACTTGCCATCCTCCTGCACCACTGGGATTACAGGCATGTGCTACTGCACCTGGCTATAATACTACTTCTTTCTCTTTTTTGTTTTTTTTAAATCAAATGTTTTATTTTAGTCTGAGATTTGTCTTCTCACTGTATTATCAGTGTCATATGTAGAGAATTTTCTTTCTTTTTGGGGGTTAACAGGCTGAACTCAGGGGTGCTTAACCATGGAGCCATATCTCCAGCCTACAGCCCTTTTTATTTTTTATTTTGAGACAGGATCTCATTAAGTTGCTGAGGCTGACCTCGAATTTGCGCTCTTCTGCCTCAGCCTCCCAAGTTGATAGAGTTACAGGCGTGCGCTGTTATACCAAGCAAGAATTTTCAATTTTAATGAAGTCCAACTTCTAACTTATTTTATATATACATTGTATCTTTAGTGTTGTATCTAAAAAGTTACCTGGTACTCTACCTCTGTCATCTAGATTTTTCTTCCATTATGTTCTAGGCATTTATCATTTTGTATTGGGTCTGTGATCCGTTTGTACTTAATTTTTTGTGAAGGGTCTGTATCTGTCTAGATTCCCCCCACCCCCCAGTTTCCATCTCTCTGTACTACCCATCTATTCTTGTGTGTTGAATACTTTTTTAAAAAATTAGAATATTCTGAATTCCTATGGTCATTTCTCAAATCTTTTAGTGACTTTGTGCACCAGAGCTGTAAACATCACATGCGCTTTATAATCCTCTTCCCTCTTAGGGGGCAGGATGTCTGAATCAGATATTCAGTCTTTTGGAAGTAAAAATTAGAGAAAATGAGGGTACCCTTCCAAGAGTGCTCCCTCTTCTCCAGAGTCTTTTGCTTGTGTCCCTACTGACCCTCCAGCAATGCCAGTTACAGTTTAGGTCTCCTGCTGTAGCACTGCTTCCTATGGAGATATCTGAGTAGATTAAGGTGTACTCCTTGGTATTTGCCTGTCTTTCCTTTCAGTTTTAGGGGCAGTTGTTTGCTGTGACTTTGATTTTCTGGCTAATCTAAGAAGAATCGTTTTCTTTTTCTTTTTTTTAAATTTAGTTTGTTCTGTTTGTTACTTGATTTTCAGGACAGATTGGCAATTTCTAAACTCCTTTTGTTCCAAACCAGAAACCACAAGTTGTCTTTTTTTTTTTTTATTTTAATTTTTCAAGATTTTTATTTTATTTTTGATCTTTATCAGTTGGTAAAAGAGGAAAGTTGTATAGGTATAGTTACACACATGACTTTGTCTTCAATTCTGTCAGTTTTTGATTGAATTTTAGTACTCAGGGTCTATATTTTTGTATATCATAATAATCTTATGACTTTTTTGATGAACAGACCTTTTTATCATTTTGAAATATCCTTTTTGATCTCTTAGAATAGTGTTTGACCTGAAGTTAATTTGTCAGTAATTGGCTCTTCCTTTCTAGCCTCTTAATTGGTACAATTAGGCTTTTTAAAACAATTTATTAAATTATAGGTGGACACAGTGTCTTTATTTTACTTTATGTGGTGCTGAGGATTGAACCCAGTCCCTCACACATGCTAGGCGAGCACTCTACCTCTGAGCCTCAACCCCAGCCCATAATTGGACTTTTTGCATTTAATATAATTGTCTTTGTGTTTGGGCTGGAAGATACTTCTCCTGTGTATTGTCTATAGGTAAGTTGGTTTGCTCATTTTGCGGCCACCTTAAAGGTTTATTCTACTACTTTCTGCCTTACATTGTTTTTAACGAGCAAATCTGGAATCACTTCTGGCTGTTTTCCCTACTTTATCTGAAATCTTATTCCACTTTCATTGTACTTGTTGGCCATGTGGTATTGTGCTTTATTTATTACATCTGGAAAGCTTTCTTTCATCATTTTTTTCTCCTTACTCCTCTCTCTTCTTTCTTGGAGTTTAGTTTCCTATATTGGTATTGTGGCAACGGTCTTGAACACATGTTCTCCCCCTTGGTCACATTATTGTTTTTGTGTGCCATTTTGGGTAGCATGTATTGCTGTTTATCAAGTTTGTTGGTCTTTTTTATGTGCAGGGGTACTGGGGATTGAACTCCACCTCTAAGCCACATCTCCAGCCCTATTTTGTATTTTATTTAGAGATTCTCACTGAGTTGCCTAGGGCCTCACTAAGTTGCTGAGGCTGGCTTTGAACACATGCTCCTCCTGCCTCAGCCTCCTGTGCTGCTAGGATTTCGAGTGTGCAGGTCTGTTTTGCTGTTAATTACATACAGTGAATTTTTCATTTCACATCATGTGTTTTGAAACACTGTGTTGATGAACATTGGGATTTTTGTTGTTTAATATTAAAGAGTGTTGAAGTTTCTTTTGGCAAGTAGATGTTGTGTATGGACTTGTAGTAACCTGTATTGTAGTGCTACTGCAGACTTCTCAGAAGGGGGTCACCCTTTGTGTGTATGTGTGTTTAATGAATTGTATGTGTGTTTAATGAAGTGTTCAAGAGATGGCTAGATGAAATAGGAATAACTTTATCCTTTTGTGATTGCTCAGAATTGTTTATGTACAAATTGTGTTTAGCTAAAGACTTAAGCTTCTTCCCCTGAATGAAGAGCTTTGGACTTCTGAGTAGTTTCCTCCTTACCACAATCTGGTCCTCATTTTGAACCACCATTCATTCCTAACTGCAGTTTGACTTTCCACTTGGCAAAACTACATTGTTCTTCCCAGCTCCCCCTTCATACACTGTCATCCAGAAATTGCTCTTGGGAATGAATTCCCGGTCAGTGCAGGACTGTTGCTTTTGTTTTTCTGTTCTCAGGTCCTATAGACCTTTGCTGCCTATCACCTCAGTGTTCTCTTTTCTAGCTGTTTATGACAGGAAGACAAGTTCTCTATTGCTCATTGTAGTTGTAGTTTCAGCTACAGAACTCTTACTTTGCCTTGGCTGACTTGGAGTGGAGAACTGTTGCCTTTAGTCTGCTCAGAATAAGTAAACAAAAGACTTTCTTACACATTGTCTGTAGCAGCTATTTGGATGCTAATTTTTAGTCTACTTTTCACTGATTGTATCTCACCCCTTTCAGGCCATGCTGGAGTGTCTGCAAACATGATGAAGAAGAGGACATCTCACAAGTAAGCAACTTTGAAATAGCATGTTGCTTTTAGGTAGCATGTTGTAACCTCTGGCTGCCCAGCAAGTGGGAGTTGCTCTTGCGTGAGGAGGTTCATAGCTCACTTCACCTGATGCCTGGTAAATAGGAGTCCCTTTCCTCTTATTGCCCTGGCTGAAGGGTTCCAGGTTTGTCCTTGAACAGGGAAAGTCCTTTGTGTCCTGATCTTTCCTCTAGCCTACTGAACCTGATGGCAGGAAAGAGCAGTAATGATGAGAGTAGCAGGGTTCCTCTCCTGGTCCCCATGTGCTGTTACACCGGGAGCTGCTTTTCACAAGAATGTGTCTTGTGCTGGAGGGCTGCCCAGCTTGCTGTTTTATAACATTGTTATATGAATTAAAAGCTTGTACTTTAGAGAAAGCATACTCATGTTAAGAGATGCTTCAGTAGCCATGTATTTAAAATGGCAGGTGTGTATTTTCAGTGCCCCAGTACTAAGCTTCTTTTACCCCCTGCACCATGCACTGGTGACTCTGCTACTATATCTTGTAAATATCACAACAACACCCTGTTGTAACTCAAAGTCTTCTTAGTTGTAGATTATTCAATACGTGGAAAGCCCTCCTTCACTCTACTACCACCAACTGAGGCCCTCATTGTAGCAGTTATTTCCAAATTATTTATGCTCATTAGTTACCACCCTGTAGTGGCTGAAGAGCATGAGAAGCCTTTTGCTCATGAAAGGTCTGGATGAATCAGGATTGCCCTTCTCTAATGATTAATACTGGAACCATCTCCCATCTCCCACTCAGATGAATGCATGATATATAATTAAATATTAATTATAATAATATTCAGTTTAAGAAATGACCTGAAAAAGTAAAAATTTGTAGGTTAGATGAGTTTACTTGTTTCCCTGAGGTTTAATAAATAAATTGTCAATCAGATTTCATTATTTCACTCATTCCTTTATGATTTTACCACGTCAGGGGATGTGATAATTTATGTGATATGTCATTATTATGTTATTACCATAAATGGCAAGCCATTTCCTGTCTCAACTAGAAGATGATAATAAGAGAAAGATAAGTCAAATACTAGCTAATGGGGGGGAAAAAGCAAGTGAAATATCAATTTGGCAAGGCCAAAATAGTTCATTCAAAACATATTTTTGCCATTTAAAAGACTGTGGGAATGTTATTGTGTATTTGTTTTAGCTATTATTACATGTGTTCAAATAATGATTTGTGATTAATATTAATAGGATTTCTGACATTCATGTGTTTGAGCCCTTTGTTATTGCATTTGTATAAGGTAGATTCCAAATCTGATATTGTTTGTAAGAAATACTATGTACTCATTATCTCACAGGTTTGAATTCCTTAAAAGCAAAAGAAATAAACATGCCTATTAAAAACTGTAAATTCATATTCATAGCAACTAAATCAATCTCATGTTACACATTTCAGAGAACTTGATTTGGTTCTTTAACAGGTGTACTTGTTTCAAAGACTAAAACACATCACTGTGTAGCAGAAGGGAGAAATTACCAGTCCTCTTTTTTGTTCTCTGTAATTCTGAAGGATGGGTAGAGGGTACAAAAAACAAAACAAAACAAAACAAAACCAAAAAACTGAAACAAAAATCACAAATGATGGTTGTTAATGTTTTTTGAGTGAAGTGATGGGTAGGTGTGGGTGCATGGAGCTTTGGAGAGGCTGCTGTGGCGGTGAACTTCCTGGGGCTGGTCTTGGAGCCGACTGAGGTTTTCGCAGGTTCCTTAATGTGGCCAGGGCTCAGCTTACCCATGTGTGTTGGACCAGAATGGTGAGGTTTGGGGCATAAATTGCTTTTTACAAATGAAAATTTTGTGGAAAGCAAATATCAAGAAGCAGAACTGCCCCCCCCCTTCAGCTATGACTCCAGAGGTTGCAAAGAGTAAGGCCCCTCCTACTCTTTGGCCTGGTGACATTAGGTTCCCATTGGTCACCCCTTCTGTCACTTACTAAGCTAGTGTGGAAGGGCTGAGGAAGAACCAGGTTGTTTGAGGGAGAGTCATAGAGCTGTGCTCAGAGCAGTCACCTCTGACCCTGTCAGGTGTTAAGGAGCACTCGGGAATTGGGTTTGAAGTACTGAGACTAAAGTAGCTTGGGTGTGGAGGGCTTTTTGTCTGTTTCATTTCTTTATTTCATTCTTTTCACAGTGCTGTGAATTGAATCTAGGGCCTTGTACATATTAGACAAGTCCTTTATCATTGAACTACATTCCCAGCCCTTGAATTTGTTTTCTAAGTAAATAGACATCAACCTGTGTGCTTCCTTTGGGCTGGGCACCTTGCTGTGTTTGGGGACAAGTTGGTGGATGAACCTTTTTGGGCTTTCCGCAAAGTCAGAAAAGCTGCTGCGTTAAAAGTACATCTTGAACGGAAAAATACCCGTATCCAAGAATAAGTTATACTGTTGCTTTATTTTCACTTTCAAACATCAACACACTATTCCCTGAATTTGAATAATGGACAGTTTTCCATTTGCATGTACTATTGGAAAGGGGTCTGTGTTTTTTTTTTTAAAGAGAGAGGATTTTTTTTTTAATATTCATTTTTTAGTTATGGGTGGACACAACATCTTTGTATGTGGTGCTGAGGATGGAACCCGGGCCGCACGCATGCCAGGCGAGCGCGCTACCGCTTGAGCCACATCCCCAGCCCGGGGTCTGTGTTTTATATTTAGAAAATAGAGTAGGATTAACTAAATTTTTTGTAGAGATTTTTTTTCCTTCCATTTTATAAGAGACAAATACTAACTACTGATAGAAAATGTCATTCAGCTCCTTTTTAATTTCTGTTGTGCTCTCACGTAGTTTTTGTGGTAACTGTAGAATAGGAACTATGAATCTTTTATTATAGATGAGGAAATTGATACCTAGGGACATTAAAGAACGTATCCAAGGTTATACATCTAATCATTTATGGAGCTAGGACTCAGAAGTGGGACAGTCTGATTCTAAAGCCTATGTTACCAACTACCACACCATATTTACAGAGCTGTGTGCTTTATTGTCTCATCTGGAAAATGAGTTATTTCAGTTGTGAATATGAAGACTAGATAACGCTTGGTGCAGGTGTCTAAATGCACCATGGTTGTGTTAGGCAGCTTTTTGTGCGGTGACACAAATACCTGACCCAGACAATTTAAAGGAGGAAAGTACATTCCAGTAGTGCATGTTTTTGGCTTATAGTTTCAGAGTTTTCAGCTCATGGTTGACTGGTCTATTGCTTTGGACCTGAAGTGAACAGAATATAATAGCAGAAGGGTGCCAGAAGCTTCTGGCAACCAGGAAGCAGGGGTAGGAGTAAGGGCGTGGGGGAGAGAAACAGTGAGAGAGACCATTCAGATTATAATCCATCTAATGGATTAATCCACTGATGAGGTCAGATCCTTCCTGATCCAGCCCTTCTCAAAGCTACCCCCTATGCACATTGCTCCACTGGGGGGGACCAAGCCTTCAATACACAAACTTTGGGAGATATTCCAGATCCAGATTATAAAGGTTATATTGACAGTCTTTAGTTTGTGAGAACAGTTAATACTTTATCACCTGCAATAACTCTTGTCATGCGTGAGTTGTGGAGATCCTTTGGACATTTGAAATTTGCAGTAAACAACTCTCATGTTATCAGAGTGCTGATGCACAGTGTGTAGAGGGACTTGCAATGACTTGAATGGAAGACTGACTTGTTTTTCTCCACCTTATTTTTATGTTGTCACCTTAAGCTGGGGAATGACAGTAGCCATTATAGAACTTTTATAAAATAACAGTTACCAGCAAAGCAATTTTTTCTCTACTTGCTAGCTTGTATCTTGCAAAAAGACATTTATTTTGATTTAGCCAATTTTATGTTGTAAAATCTGCTGGATCTCTTAAGGGAGTTACTTTTATGTAATAATATTAACTAGACTGGAAAGAGCAGCAGTAATTAATTCATACATCAAAGTACGTAGTATGTGACAGGCTTTTATTGATTCATAGTTGAATTGTAATAATTGACAAGTGAATTTTACATGTATAATGTTTTAAAATAATGGTCACCATGAATTGCTTTTTACAATTATTAAGATGTTAAACCAAATGGATAGAAAAAAATGATTTTCAACACAGGACTTTTCTCCCTCCCCCCTCTTTCTTCCCTTCCTTTCCCCCTCCTTCCTTCCCTTACTTGTCTTCCTGTACCACGGATTGAACTCAGGGGCACTTGACCCCAGCCCTATTTTGTATTTTTTTTTTTTTTTTTTTAGAGACAGGATCTCACTGAGTTGCTTACATCTATCTGTTACTGAGGCTGGCTTTGAACTCTTAATCCTCCTGCCTCAGCCTCCTGAGTGGTGGGATTACAGATGTGCACCACTACGCCTGGCAGAACTCTGTTCTTGATGACAAAGTCATTAGAATTTAAAACTTCAGTATTGAGCAGATTCGTAAATGTCACCTACAGTCTCAGTTTACCCTTTTGGAACATGAACACAGAAGTTGTTTTTTTATTCTAAATCAGTACTGCCCAAAGTGTGGTGTGTAGATCACAGAAGACCATGTCACTTGGGTGCCTGTTAGGATTTCCTAGATCCTCTAACAGGCTGCCACATGCAGAGCCTTTCTGGACTGGGAGTACAGTGGGAATCTTGCAGGAGCTCTCCAAGTGATTCAGATATAACAGGCCTGAACTGTTACTGAAAGTGGTATCTTGGTCATGTTGGAGAACTAAATTGAGTTGTGGTTGGAGATTAGGATCAAAATTATGTCAATGAAAAGTGGTTGCATTACAAACTATAGGAAAATAGCATTTTAACTAATGCATTATCAGTTCATGCCTGATGATCACTTTTGATGCCTTTTCATCACTTTACTTTTTTCTGAAATCATTTGTTTTAAGAAAGAGTTTCTAGAAATTGAAAAACAATAAAAGATATTTAATTTGTGGCTTCCTCTATTTTTTTGCTTGAATTGTTTCAGTCATAACACAGTATA